AAATGGATACCCATTCTCGTTACACCAAATGCACTCAAATTGCTCAGCTATGAGGAACATGGGTATCCATTTTAGATATCCACTTGAATGGATATCGTGACTGGTATGTCGACGATACCCAGTGTTTGGATATTATGACATCTCTGGAAAATGATCGATTAAGATCGAAAATTTCCGCATTCTGTTAAAATAAAACGTTTTTACCTTGAAAATATTCTACATTCATTTATTTATTAAAAAACATTTCAAATAAATATGTTATTTTACAATCCGAAATAATTAAATATTCATCTGCATCTCCACTTATTACATAGGAAATATCAACTGACAAAAATATATTGCATACATCGTCAAGTACTTATCAACAGCAATATCAATTTACTTGAATAATAGATAAATGATTATTTTCCCTATGATTTTTGGAATTTTTTTACTTTTATATGAGAAATAGTCGAATAGTTTCATTATTCAAATTTAACTGTCCTTTGAAATGCCAATTATTTATCTGAAAAATTCAATATAGATTTAAATTAAAATATCAAAGTAAACCAACAATTTCATCATTGAACAATAGTGGGGATTGAATACATAAATAGTAAGATTAACAATATATTTAAAGTCATTAACAATACTTCTTAAAAACAATTAATACCTTCATTAAAAATATTTCTAAACAACTCTTTCTTACCATTTACATATACAAATACGTTTTTCATCAAATAGTGAAATAATACGACGAATTCTATCAACAAATGTTAATTTGTTAATAGCACCTAAATCTCGATCATATTCTTGTACAACATCACTTCTTCCAATATCAAACTAAACGAAAGATTAATGCCTATCTGAATTATCAGATTAACAACTAAACAAAGATTTTTTTATCAAACATTTCGCAATCGAATAAACGCTATTAACCTTAACTTCGCTGACAATAAGGTATCTTTCGGGTGGAAAATTTACTCTTGATTTTAACCAATATATAACAGTATCAATTAAAATTTTAATTAAAAAAAGTGTCATTCATGCCAATTTTTGTATTCCATAATTTAGCATTTTTATTATATGAACCAGAATGAAGTTCTATTCTTGTATTATTAAAATTAATGTCATGTACAACTTGACTAGGTTCAGCATATTTTCGCATACAACAACGTTTGTTATAAAATTCTAAGCACTTCAAATATGAAAAATAATTTGTTTTTGTATTAATGTGATTTATTTTAGCTTCAAAATTCATTGAACAAGTAAAAAATAGATGAGCAGAAACAAGAAAATATTACTTTTTGTACAGCATTTGTATGTCTTGTATATGTATGAAAACATGATCGATGTTGATAATCATACCAATCTTTAATATGAAATTTTATTGACGATAAATCTTCAAAATCTTTATCTAATATTATTGATACATGGTGATGAGCTCATATTTGTCCATTTTGATCATTGAATATTTGTTTTCTACGGACTAATACATGATATCATAAAGATTAAATAAAATAGTAAAATGTTTAATTATTTAATTAATACATAAAATAACCTAAAATTTAATTACAAATTACACATACAATTCTTTTGTTGGAAAATTTTAAATGATTTAGAAAATAACAATGAATTACTTTAAGAGTATATTGAATTAATCATTTGTATCATCTTCATCTTCATCTTCATCAATATCGTCATTATATGGAGCACGTTGCCAATAATAACTATATCAAAAAAACGAAATTGTGTGAATATATACTAATTCGTTTTAAAAAAAATTAAATATTCTATTTTCAATGGATATTTTAATAATTTTAGATAAAATATAACTTTTTTTTAAGTCATGATTTTATCCAATATTTTATTCTCGAATAGACTATGGTATAGGATTTTATTTAATTATCTATCCTAAAATACTTAATGATAACATACTCAATTAATTCTGATACAGATGGTAAAATATATAATGCATTTGGGTTAATACATGATGATGCTTTATGTAATTTTGCTAAAATGCCAGCCCAGGAGGATCATTCCGACGATCAGACCCAATAAGATCGTATAGGAATCCGATCGGATTTTATATGAATTTCCAATAAACCAACGAATTCCTATCTGATTCCGGACTGTGGAATGACATTCGGATTCCTACTGTCGGATTGTGACGGATTCAACGCTCTACTCGGACTACCCTCTATAATGTTGGCTTGAGGTACTAATTAGTGGTCAATTAATTAAATGCTGTTTTCCGTCGGATCCGCTACTAGTTCCATGAACCGGAATCCCATACGATTTTATAGGCTGGCTGGGTCCAATCAGATGCTGTCGAATCCGATATCGGGTTCATTCATCTAGGAGGTTCATTAGATAAATTATTTTTTAATATTTGAACTTGATTTGTTTGATATTGCCATTTATATTGATTTACATAGTTTGGTCGACGACAAAAGAGTCAATCCGATTCTAACTCATGCAGCTTCACTTTAACTCAACCAGATACATTTTTCAAACATTTAAAAGAACACGGCGGACAATTCTTAAACAAGCTCAAGAAAGCATACGTCACCAACAACAATTAACAAAACTGCGATATGACAAATATCGCAAGGATATGTCTTATTGTATTGGTGATTTGGTATTTCTGAAGGTATGTGCTAATCGTACAAAATTAGATGAACGATGGATAGGACCTTGTCAAATGATCAATAACACAGATGAACAAAAAAATTTTGTTCAAAACAATGAATCAGGTAAATCTGTATAGGCTCATATTAGTCAACTACAGCCGGTTATGCAACGAGCCGTCTAATTACAAAGTATTCAAACTGATACAATCATATTGTATCACCATTATCAACAATGACCGAAGACGACGCGGCACCGCCTTATTACCCATGTGTTTCATTACGATGAAACTGCGGCGCAGTTACGCCGTAACTGAGATCGCACTGTGACCCGTAATTGCGGAAAATTGCGACGTAGTTACGCGCAACTACGATGAAAAAATCGCAGTTACGCGTAGTTACGGGGGAAAAATCACAGTTACNAATTAGAACGAAAAATAAAATGATTGGATTCAACTGTTTTCGTTTATCCATTATTTACCTCTTTTAATAAACCGTATGTAGAATTTTTCTATACGAAACTTCATTTCTTATATTTGAAGTTTCTTTTATACAGTAAAAACATAATAACTTATACACAAAATTTCTAGTTGATGTTTACAAATCCGGCAATGAAAAAAGATAAAAGATACATATCATAAAATTTTATAAATACATTGTGATTAAGTTTTAATTTATTTAAAATAAATCTATTAGATATTCGAAAACAATTATCTGAAGATCAAAGACATGTTATTTGTAGACGAAGCATACAATTGAGTTGAGACTAACTATGTGTATAGTATTGATAAAAAAAAAATTTTTAAAAGAAAAAGACTCATTCAAATCAGATCAGTTCATGAAATTTTAATCAATATCTTCTATCATGTAAGGTATTTTATTTTTCAGAAAGTAAAATAAAATTGTAAAAATATATTAGTGAAATAAATGTTGTTCTAGGTTGATATGTAATCAAAACTAATTAATATATTATAANACATCTTCGATTAGGAAGGACAAACTCGAGAATTCCTCTCTCCCTAAATTTTTCTTTCATTTGATACTCCATAAGCGATTGTCTGTTATCGTTCATTAACACCTACAATATGCTATTTTCTATATATTTTCACCTAGTCTCTTATGTTTTCCGATAATAGTTCTTTTATTGTAAATCAGTAGCGCATCCAAAGATGGAACGAGGATACAATCACACACTTCCCTCGCATTTCTGGCTGAATTCACGTTTTTTTTGCTAGTCATTTTTCTTGAAAACGTTATATTTTGCTCTTATCTACATTCGTTTTTCCCTCTCTACCTTTTCAAAAATTTCTAAATTCGTACTTAGTGATGTACCGATACTGAAAGGGTTGGGCTTGGTAGATCCCTAACCGCACTGTTATAAATAAATATTGGAAGCTGTTGTCGTATGTAATTTTGTATTTATTAATACGGGAATTATATCTTCTTATATTAATCTGAAAAAGGGATTAAACATTCCCCCATGTTATCAAACAGAATTCAAAGCAAAATAAAGTTAAAATGCTACCCAGAATTTAAAGTAAAGAATGTAATTATGTTCTATTAAATAAAATAAAATAATTTCTAATTGAAGAAATTACCCATAATATAAACTCATATTATTATTCTTTTTATTTTTAGTTCGACCCAATATTATACCCGGATACTTTCATTATATTGATGTTTCACAATGGGTAGAATCTTTATCAACATCAGAATCGATTGGTATAGAAATAAAAATAGTAAACTAAATAGAAAAAAAGATTTCTTGATTTTATTTTTAGCGCAGCATGTAAATGTTTTTGAAAAAGATCTTGGCCAATTAATTGAAACATTAAAACAACTTGTTTTTCTTGATATTCATGGAAAAATCGATCGTGAAAAAGCTCAAGTATATTGTTCTATGATTAAAAGATGTTTTTCTCATAGCCAAGTGGATGTCAAATCATCCAGATTTCGTCTTTGGATATAATTTCTTTTATATTTATATAATCATTGTTTATTAAAGATTATATATTTTGTTTTCATTTATCTTTGTTAAATAAAATCTTATAATATATTAATTAGTTTTGATTTATGTTTTAAATGAATTATCTCATAATCCTGACTGATCAAAGTAAAATTTAAAAAGGTACCCTTTATTCAGTAAACGAATTGAATAATGACAGTTTAAAAGGTATTTAGGCATGCTTTAAGATAATATTCTTAAAATTGAGAATTCGAGGCTATAAGAAAAGAAGTTATCAAGATAAAAATAAAAAGAACTCGATTTGGCATATATTTAGATCTGCAAAATAATAAAGACGAAAAACACAAAGAAAGGGGAAAAGAAAGAAGATGGATCATCTAACAATCAACAACTTTTTTTTTGTTAATCTATCGATATTAGATTTTCGTTTAAAATAAACTTACTAGATGTCCAAGGAAAATCATCTGGTCGCCAAAGACGTAATATTTGTAAATGAGGCATATAAGTACTGAGAAAATGTACAAGATTTTTACCAATATGAATCGATTCATTCGAACCATAATGACAACTGGGAATACCAAATTCAGCACATTGAACAGTGCTCAGTGTTTTTTCTTTTAGATCATTTGATGCCTACAAAATAAAATAAAAAGTGTATGAATATATTTTACAAAATTAGAAAATTTTTTAAAATCAATCGATTTAATAAATTAGAGATCCAATGAATAATTAATATAAAGAGCAAAAATTGAATAATTGTTAGACTTGTTCATTTATATTAAAATCTTCGCTTAAGTAGTATGGTCGTTTTCTAATTATTATGATGGAATGTAAGCAGAAAATAAGTGCTGACATCTTCGATTAGGAAGGACAAACTCGAGAATTCCTCTCTCCCTAAATTTTTCTTTCATTCTGTCTTTCTTTCTGAAAATTTTCTGTTGCGAATAGTGAATAATTATGAATCTTTCGGTAGACTAAATAAATTATGCAAAAGGGATCTAGCTATATTCTGTTACATCGAAAATTGTCTCTTAATATTACAATGAGAACTAGTTGATATTTTATCAAGCGATACAATCTACTCAATAGTTCCAGGAAAATAAATCAGTTTCAAAGAGAAACTGGATCAAAAGTTTGGTTCGGTCGTCAACATACCGTAGTGTGCAAAACAAATGGCCGGTAGAGTTTTGAAAAACAATTCTCCCACTGAAAGCAAAAGAATGCAGGTACTTTTTAATTAATAGATTATATGCATGTGCTATAGTTGTAAACAATAGCAATTAATAAAACCTTCGTTCTTTCTTGAGGTTGTGTGGATGCGGATGATTATATTCTCTTCATCCAGTTGTGTCTCCATATTATCAAAGTAAGATCAAACATATAATAGATACTTACATATTGAACAATATGAAAAATCCATTCAATCTTTTCAACTAGAAGATATTTAAGTTGAACAGGCATTGAAATAAGATGAGCAAATACTTTTGCACGTGCTTTATTCATGTTGATTGATGTCTGACAACTTCCTGAAAAAAATAATTTTCTTTTTTAATTAAAAATAAATCTAATTAAATCTTAAATTCATGTTATTTTATTATTCAATCAATGACTATCATTTTTTTTTGTTTTGATTAGTATGATTTATTTGAGAATTTGTTTATTATAGTGCTGTTCACATCTAAAGGTCATTCTTTCTTTAATACTTCACGACGATTGATGCAATATTTTGGTTTGAAGAACTCTTTACCTTTGAAAGGTTTAAAAAGAAATTTCTTTAATATATGCATTAAAGACTCCCTCAAAATGATTGTTTTAAAAAAAAACATACTTTTCAAGGTAAACATATAGACAGAGCCTGGGCAAAAGTGCCAAGATTGCGATGGTGGATGTTAGAGTCATGAAATAGGCAAATTGGGAGAAAGAAAATATTTTCGTGTCAGACCTAATGATAATTTTTCTCGTGCAACCTTCTTACAAAATTCGCCATACTTCTACTACTGAAGGTGGTCACGCTGGCGACGATTGTTTCCAACTAGACTATTTCGAAGGAAAATTGAACTTAAGTTAGAAGTTTTTCTAAGTTAGCTGAGGTCATGCAGGTGTTATTTTTGCGAACCAAACACTGTTCTCATGTCAGACTCGTGTAAAACTTCTTTTCCCTATTGTTCGCGAAAGCAAAAAAGTGTTGCAATAAATCTCAGCAATTTTTCCGCCGAAGATGGCCGCGCTAGTAACAACTGTTCACAAAAGAAGTTGCTCAGGAGACAGGAAGTAGTAAAGTATTCCATAAAACAGAAAGATCATAGTTATTTTCAAGGTGAGGCGGCCCATACGGTTACTTCTATGTGCAGCGAAAAGTTTTAGTATTTAACAATTTTCTTGCAAAAATCATCGTTTAAGCCAGAGTTTTGAGTGAAAACCCAGCTAATTTCTGCAACATACCATAGAACTTCATGCTGTTCATCGATATCTCAACAATAGTTGTCGATTATTATAGAAATATCATTTCCTGACTACCATTTTCACTCACGGCGCCTCTGAAGATGTTTGTGAAAATATCTTACGGAGATACTTTAAAAATTCAAAAACNCAAATCTACCTTAAACAAATATGTCATAAATCTATGTTTATAAAGAAGCAGGTCTGTCTATCTGTTCGCTTTTCACTTGGGCACAGTACGACGAAATGAAATGAAATATTTCACGGAATACCCTTTCGCCCAGAGGAAGGTCAAGACTGGGGTCAAATCCTGCTCCCTGTGGATGACTGAAATTTCACCTAGGTTTTGGTAGCCTGCAATTTTGCATATATATAAAGAAGAAAGTTTGTTTCTTTGTCTGTCTGTTTGGTCTTGATGTATTTGATCCTATAAGAGCTGGCGGCGCCAAACTTTCCATGACATATCCTTAGATCCAGAGAAAGGTCAAGAGGTGGCCAGCGCCACTGATGCGGGGGAAGGAGGTGAGGGGTTGGGTGAAATTGCACCCAGGTCATGTTATACCATAATTTTGACCAATTATTGAAAAATGTTGGAGTTTTCTACAACTGTAAGAAAATCCACATCCTACTACTACCTAACCCTTTTTCGCACTATGTCTGAATGTGGGTTATCTATCAATCTTCAATATATAAAGAAGAATGTTAGTCTGTTCTTTATACAGGGTTGCCAAAAATGTTTTGCTTGAGGGTTATAGCTCTAAAGACGAATTATATCAACATTGAATTTTATACCAAATGAAAGCCTATCAAAAATGTGGTTTATCCATACGAATGAATAAGGTCTATAGAGACTTTTCTCTATCGAACTTCGATTATTTCTAGAAATACATGAATCACAGTCATAACAACACTTTCTTTTAGCATAGAGAACTCAAACTACCTCTGATATAAAAATAATGAATCTAGCAAAGTTATCTTTATTTTTTATTATTTATTAAGCCATAAAAAGTAAGGATAATCTTTCTGTGTTATGTAATTTGATATCAGAGGTAGTTTGAGTTCTCTATGCTAAAAGAAAGTGTTGCTATGATTGTGATTCATGCATTTCTAGAAATAATCGAAGTTCGATAGAGAAAAGTCTCTATAGTTCTTATTCATTCGTATGGATAAACCCCATTTTTGATAGACTGTCATTTGGTATAAAATTCAATGTTGATATTACTCGTCGTTAGAGCTGTAACTCTCGAGCAAAATATTTTTGACAACCTTGTACATTTTGTCTCTGTAATAGCTAGCGTCACCAAAGCTCCCATGGCATACCCCTTGGTCCGGAGAAAGACTGACGTGAGACAAGGCCGATGCCAGCAACAATGATGGGAAGAGGAGTTTGGGTGAAATTCCCCGTAGGCTATGATATACTTAAATTTTCATCAGTCTTTCAAACGTTTCAGAAAGCTTGCTACGATTGTTAGAATATCCACCTCTTTTACTGTTACGTTTTTGTGCACTGAATGTTGCTGTGAGGTATGGCAATGGACATGAGTGAAGAGAAAGATACTCATACACACACTATTTGTTGAATTATCGCATTTAAGCATGGATGTAAGGGCATGTACGGCGGCACATGTAGTAGTAATAGATGGAAAACTCTCAAGTACACCTTCTCTACATCTTCTGTCGGTTTTTGACATGTTAAGTTTTCAGTGTGGTGATTTCCCGAGCAACGCCAGGTACTACTGCTAGTTCTTACTATTTATATACTAGATTAAAATTAGACTGTACCCTTACTTAATTTAAAAGAAAATATAAATATATTAGCACTTACCAATCATACGACTATAACAAAAGCCCAAATTAAGTCTTGTCACATTTTGAAATTGAATATCAGTCACTTTACGTTGTCCTATTTCGAACGGTATTCTTAATGACGTAGACACACTTGTCTGATTAAGATCTCTATACGATTCTATAGAAAAAAATAAATATGATTTTTCTTTAAATCTATCGTTGAATTTTGTTAGACAGAAGAATAAATCGCTCTTAAGCGTTCGAAATAAGCGAATACTCAGCAAGTATTTGAGAATGTCTCTCAGTTTGAGATGAGTTCATTGAAGAAAAGAAAGGTACAATGTGGGTATAACTGAATGATATTTTATCTAAATATCTATCGTTTTAATCTCTCAGAACATACAATAGTCATAGTGCGTTTACGTAGTTTTTGGAAGCAGATTTGATCAACATATTGAAATTGAAAATGTGATCAATTTATACGGTCAGAAAGAGAAAAGTCTTAGCTACACAGTAGTTGTTAAAAATGGCTAGTATTTATTTGAGCAATTTTATATTACGAAATGAATAATAATTAATTCATTAAACTGCAGCAATAAATATACATTTGAGCAAGAATAATTTACACATTAGCAGGAAAAAAATCAATATTTTAATAATAAAAAAATTACTATTTGACCAAAGCTTTTTTAATTTTAGACTGTCTGTCTCACTTTCTTTTTGCACCAAATGCTACAGTTTTGGCCTCTGGTGGAGCTTTGCACTTTTTCAGGGATGATAGACAAGTGCAAATTCCTTTTCTCCACTGCGACATTATTTGATAAACATACACACCGTATTTTGAATTAAACAGACTTGTATGTGCCAAATAAATTAAATCTACGAGCCCCATATGTTTTTGTATATTTGTTAACGGGCAAACCGATCTCACTAATAAAATATAAAGAATGTGGTCAAAAATGAAGGATATTCACGCACAATGGCAATGATACAAAACGAATGTATTCGACGAGTAAATCACTGATTCGATGTTCATTTGTCAAGATCTTCTCCCTTTTTCTCTAGTGTTTTGGGATACCGACTGAACCAGTCAGAGAGAGACCTAGGTATTTGCCACTTTCGACAACACCCGAAAAAAAAGAGACAGCATCTTGACAAATGGACATTGAATCAGTGATTTACTCGTCGAGTACTTTCGTTTTATGTCATTTCCAGCATGGAGAAACATCCTTCATTTTTGATCATCCCCAGAACGAACATCACGACGGCCTGATATAATCGTAAACGGCCTTACGACCCAAGTTGATCGATCTGGGTCTCCTTGTTGTGGAACTCACATATATTTTCGAAGAAAATAGTCCAAGTCGGACATTCCGGCCACCGGATCCAGTAGGATACTCCAGGAAATATGCGGGGAAGTCACCATATCCTGCAAGAATTGATGGGAAATCACCGGAAAAAATCCGAAAATTTCCAACGGGAATACTGCTTCCACAAAATCAACGGAACTACCTGGAACCGGCCGTTTCTAGGCCAGGCTGTTCGACCTGGGAGTGAGTGTAAGTTGAATTGTTAGGTTTTTGTGGCTCCCCTGTACCCCACCCCACCCCTCCCCATTACAGACATAAAACATTAAAAAATGAACACTTAGATGCACTAATTAGAAACTTTTTTGGTACAGGTCGATTGCCTATGTTCACCACTACGCACATCAGTAATAAAAATCTAGTTTCACTAATTAGAAATCATTATAATTAGGATTTAATATCTAATTAATCATCAAAATCTGTCGTTTTTATTATTAGTTCATAGTTACGACAGTCTTATATATTTTTACTATTACAGAAGCTAGCAACTAATTTATGCTACTATTACACTCATTACTTCTACCACCTACAATAAACAGATGAACATTTTAATCTTTATTTTCTCACGCAAGTAGCTTAATCTAGAGCCTAAATCCATTTTAGTGTATTTACAATTCGCAACTTTCCCATACACTGGGAAGCTTTTATCAAATTTTCGTTTATAAAAATGTATCAGTTTCTCATCTGGTAATACCAAAAAATATAAATTGCTCCACATTCTATGTAACATCTTTGATCAACAGTATCAATAGCTATATGCTAAATACTACTTAAACTATTATCATTCACAATATTTCTCAATGAAACCACTAAACACTTCAGCATACTGACATATTATAAATAAAAAGGTTTTCATACGTTCTCTCTAGTAATATTTCCTATTGATAGATCCAATAAACTTCAAATGTTAAAAAGGTTTTATTATCTTATTTTTGAACAAAATATTGATCTCACTACACTGAAAAAAGAAAACCTTTATTTGATCAGTATCTAACTAACCGAAATATGTGAGTTCCACATTTTAGTCCCAGTGGGGCTGCGCTGAAAAGCTTTTTCTTTTATTTTAAAAATCGTGGCAATATATATAGTGAATAAATGAGAGAGAAAAATCCAAAATGATTTGGAAATTAACATGAAACACGAGGGGGAAATCTCGGAAACACATAAAGAGATGAGAGCAGTTGGGAAAAGCCAAGAGATGGAAGAAAATAAAGAAGATTATATGTACATGCTGGAGGTTAATTGAAATCATCCTCTTCATTTCTCATATCTTCTCTTTCTGTTCTCTTCACGTATGTCCACATATGATTTTTTTCCCTTCCTTCACATATCGTATTTGGCCTGTTATCTGTGCGATATAGTAGAACAAAAGAAAGACAAACAATCAGGCCATATCACTCATCCTGTAACATTTACCTTTAGTTTTAATAAATTATTGTTTAGTTGGTTTAATTATTGCTCAATTATTATAGTTATTGCTAAGTCAATTTTATTATCGCTAAACTTGACCATTGCTCCTCCATATTATTTTATTACGTAATTAAATTTTAGTCGTTAAAAATTATTTTCATTCAATTTAAATTCTGAGACGTCATTTTAATAAATAGATGACTCCAAAAGTCAGTCATTTTTCACTTATTTGTTCATAATTCAGGAGCAATACAAAGAAAAAAGTTTTAATATTTTTATAGTAACTAGAAGAGATACTAAAGAGTATTGAGGGGAAAAGTTTCTTCAAACTTATATAATAGAAATTTATTTGTAAAGGCTTTTGTCTTTGAAATGTAAAGGTACATTATCAGCGCAATCTATCCATTCATTATATTTACGATAAATCTTGCTGTTTATCATGTGTATATCAGTTTCAATAAATATCCATATTTTTTCATTCTTTTCTTTTTCCGTATAAATTAAACATATAACTGGTAATCTACTCATATGAAACTCTATCTTACAAAGAAGATTTTCTTATCAATTCAAAGAATAAAACATTAACCTGTATAAACTTGAATGTTAGAAACATTAGGAAATATTTCATCAAATCGTTCAAGCAATAAAAAAAGAGATGGATGTAAATCAATGGAAACATCTTGAATATGTGGCCACGTAAAAATATTTGGATGAAAACTAAAATAAAAATTTTTATAAATTCTTCTAAAAAAAAGGTCTATCTTACACTAAACCATTCATAAATTGAAGTTTATTAACAATGTTAGAAGAAAGATGTTGATATGAATTAAATGGATTAAAGAAACAAGTTACATTTGTCAAATGACGTGAAATAAAAAATTCATCGATTTTAAATGAATTTATTATTTTTTCAATCTGATACGATAATAATAGGCATCGAGAAGCAATATAAAAGCAAAAATCTTTTATATTTGTTATTATATCAGGTAAACAATATTGACGAATAAAATTTGCATCAACAACGTATTCTTTAGCTACTGAATCTGAGAATGAATAGATTTTATTAATTTGAAGATGAAGTTTCAATTTTCTGGTATGATTAAGATTATTAAGAATCCATTTCAAATAGATCAAGTCAAAATCATTTTTAATTAATGTTTTTAAAGTAAAATAATTCAATTTTGGTACCTATATTTAATACAAAAGAAAAACAAATTTTAAAAAATGTTCGCTGAATACACTTGTTTTATTTTAAATTAATTTTCTTAAAGTCATATTTATAAATTCATTCTAATTTAATGAGCTATTTGCTCAGCTTCAGCATGACTTGACTTATTTATTACATAGCGTGATGCTTCTCGTTGAAGCAACCAGCGAATAAAATTTGTCATAATCAGAACAAAAGGTTTTTATTTTTATTTTCAGCTGTCTTCAGACAATGCGCGCAGATCCTTCTTTTTTCTAAAGCTTGTGATGAGCCAGTTTGTACTTCGAATACCTAGTTAATTTTTGTCTTACACAAGATTTCAGCTGCTCGAATGGCATATGAAGCAGTAAAGATTGCACAAAACCTTCGTGAACCTGCGCAATGGTCGCCTCGTTCAGTGTGATATTAGGATATTCATTTAGCAGGTATTCCTCCTCGCCCTCACTATTTTACACTACCGCCCGTCAATAAGCAACACCAGCTTAATGAACAATTGATATTACATAGAAAAAAGATCGGTCAGCACAGAATGAGAAGGTCAATGGATGTGTTTGCCGAAAGACAGATACATACGAAAATGAATCTCCAAAACTATTGTCTAAGAAATCGAATCGAGCTGAATATGTCAACAGCAGAGCTGGGTAAGTGCAGATTTTCTTGAGTATAAGTAAGAGTACGAGTATGTTACTCATACTAATAATCATTAATAAATGAATTCAATTATTGAATAATGAATAAAATACATATAAAGATAAAAATATATATAGGAATTTGTTCTATTATAAATAATTTCAGTAAAAATGAACAATCGATGATAATGCCTTAATTTTACCTTTTCAAACCAGTTTCCATTTGAGTTCATTAATATTTCAATATCTGACTTCGATCGAGGTTCGATGTTCATTGATTCTTTAAAAATAACTGACAATCGTTCAATATTGGGAATTCGTTCAATAAGATGTTCAAGAAAACATGTATATTCAAGACGAATATATAAAGAACGAAGTGTCAAACAACTATGTTGAATTTTATTAGACATTGAACTTGTAGAAGGATGTGAAGACAATATTAGACATTGATGAATATTACTATACAATTCATCATCGGCAATATCAAGTCGAAGTACCGTTAGTCGACAGTCATCAGAAAACAGTTGATTAATGAGCTTTTTAAACATCACCATTAATTTTCCTAAATTACATCAATAAAACAAAAAATAGTAAATAGTAAATATTAGTCCATCATTAATCCAATGATTACTCTAATAAACTTTTCTCAATCTGCAAATCAGTTATATTTATCTATAAAAAGTTTTAGACTTCGTTTCTATTATATGTTATATATATATATATATATATATATATATGTCCTATGTCCTAGGCAAAATTCGTTTGAAACAGACGCTAAACTACGAAATCATGTTCGTTTATCTAAAAACCAGTTTCAATTCACATTAATAACATTTAGCAAATATTTTGATTTTTTAAATTAAGTTAGTAATCATTTATTTTTACTTATTTATACTGGAAAGGTATGTAATGATAGCTTCCTTTATATAAGCATTAGAAGGTGATATTCGAAAGCGTTTTTAAAAACTAGTTATTTATTATACTGGTTTTTGCACGTATTACAATCAGACCGATAACATTTATAACCCTACAACAAGAATCACATAAGTTAAAAATTCTTGTTTCTTGTCTATTAAATTACTAAGAGTTGTAATTAGTAACGCTAAACAACCGATCAAAATTTATTCGGTCTAGTGTATAAGTCAATCAACAAAACTTTTCTGTGGATTTGTCTATTGTGTTCTAAGCATTTTCATTCTTTTTAAAAACTTAATCATAAAAGTATTTCTTTTGCAACAGAACTATTGTTCTTACCAAGTATGAAGAATACTTCTATCAGGAAATATCCATCAGAATAGTCTATCCAATCGAGATAGTGAAAAGTTTCATAGTAGTTAAGCTGAACTTTATTATTATTATTATAACGATTGTAAAGCCAAGATAAGTTATCCAGGACTTTATTTGACTCCTATAAGGTCAGTGAAATGTTG